GAATATCAGCATCGCCTGGGGGCTTATTAAAATTACTCAGAAGTTTTTGTTTCTATGTTTACTTTTTTAAACTACAAGCCTCTGGAGAATCACGAGCAGCTTTTGCTGAAAGGAATCTGTTATCTTCCTCAAATGTGTTGGAGCAGAGAAAAGATTGAGGACTGTGTTATGGCTTTCTACAAATCTTCTGATTTTTCTTTTTGATGTTTCAATCTTTGATAAAACAAATGAAGTCTCACTCTGGGATCACAACAGAGCTGGGAAAGTTGAAGTCAACAGTTTCATATAGAAAGCTTAGTATGTTCGAAACCATGTTAAGCACCTTGAAAGACATTAGATATAAAAATGAATGAGACATGTTTTTTCCTGATTGAATTAAAATCATTCTTTGGAAGAATTTTTAACTATTTGTAGCAGCAATACATTTGTAAGAGACGTGTAAACAAATGGCAATTAGAATTAAAAAGACAACTGAGTTTGAATCCAGGAGAAAAGCTTAGGGAAGATTTCATTAGAGAAAGTCCTAGGAAGGACAGAGGTATTTTAAATGATGAGTAAAGGTGCAGGAGAGAACATTCCAGGCAGAGACAACATAAACAGAGGGATAGAGGTGTGAAGTGTAGAGGCATATTTGAGAACTGTGAGTTGTGCAGTTTAGTAGCAGTATATGTTGAGGTAAGAATGGATGGAAAAGTTTGGTTTGGTCGTATCAACAAGACCTTAAATGAGCAGCTGTCCATACACAGAATCCAAGAAACTCAGTTTGTAGGACCTTTTTCTAATTGATGAATACCCAAGTTACTCTTCTTTTCATACACTCAGCCACGTCATTAGTCATATTTTCTAGATGAAAGAAGGATTTTTGTCTGTTTTGCTTATTGCTGTATTCCCAGAGCATAGAAGAGTGTCTGGTGTACGTGACTTATATTTCAAATGAATGAATGAGTTTAGGTTTCGGAAGAAGAGTTTCAGTGGTTATGCCGTAAAGAAATCTTGTCTGGAGAGGCAAGTTGCTTTTGGTACTGTGACCGCCCTCCTCAGACCTCATTGTGTTCACCTCATTTGAAGTGTCCTTCCCTCGCATTCTTTGCAGCGTTCTGCTTGGGTGCTTCCAACCAGTGACCCACCTCTTCACAGTGCACCTTATTACAAGGCGTATTTACTCTCTGTGGCTTGATTCAGGCAGATCTCTGAAGTCTTTGAGTTAACGCTACATGTTTCCTGAGGTATACCATTGCCTCGTTCTTTTTTTTTTTTTGAGTTGGAGTGTCACTCCATCACCCAGCAGGTGGAGGCTCCCGGCCACCGCAGCCTTGACCTGCTGGGCTCTGGCGATCCTTCCGTCTCAGCCTTCCAAGTAGCTGGAACTACAGGCGGGCGCTACCATGCCCGGCTAATTTTTTGATTGATTGTAGAGATGAGGTCTCACCAAGTTGCCCAGATGGGTCTTCAACCCACAGGCTCAGGCAATCCATTCACCTCAGCCTCCCAAAGGTGCAGGATTACAGGCTGAGCCACCAAGCCTGGCTCTACCTCATTCTTTAATCTTGATTTTAATCATTTCCAAGAATATGTGGTACCACTTTTAGAGTTTCTACTAGCAAGTCCCCACTATACTTCTTCTGGTCGTTATTTTATTTTGATATTATTTGAAATGTTAGCTTTGTGTCACCTGTTTGTTATCGTTCTAGACAAATTATTCAACATTTTACATATGGATTTTGAAAATATAATTCGTAAGTTGAATTATATGTTGCCTATACCTGTTTTACCTATTTGTATTATTTTTTAGGGTTTGCTCTAAGGATTACAATATACATCATTAATTTGTCATAGTCTCCCTTGAATTAATATAGTGTCACTTCACATAAAATGTAAGATTTTTTTTTTTTTTGAGTTAGTCTCACTCTGTCACCCAGGCTGGAGTGCAGTGGCACGATCGTGACTCAGTAAAGCCTCTACCTGCTGGGATCAGGCAGTCCTTCCACACATCCTTTCAAGTAGCTGGAAATACAGGTGTGCGCTACCACACTAGGCTAATTTTTTGGATTATCGTAGAGATGAGGTCTTGCCATGTTGCCTAGGCTGGCCTCGAACCTCTGGGCTCAGGCAGTCCTCTTGCCTCAGCCTCCCAAAGTGCTGAGATTACAGGCATGAGCCATGGCACCTGGACAAAATGTAAGCGAGTTATAATAATATGCCGAGTATGATGGCTCAAACCTGTAATCTCAGCACTTTAGGAGGTGGAGGTGAGAGGATTGCCTGAGCCAGGTTTGAGACCAGCCTGGACAACTTGGCGAGACCTCGTTTCTACAATAAATCAAAAATTTAACCGGATGCGGTGGCATGGGCCTATAGTCCCAGCTACTTGGAAGGCTGAGGTGGGAGATCTCCTGAGCCCAGCAGTTTGAGAATTTGGTGGCCGTGAGGATGCCAGTGTACTGCAACCTGGACAACAGTGAGACACTGACTCAAAAAAATATAATAATAATACTTGTATATTTCTGTTTACTCTTCCTTCCCCTCCTTTGTCCTCCGGTTTCCATATGCTTTACTTCTACTTGCATTATAAACCCAGTGACACCTATCAATTATTTTAATCTTTGCTTTAAATAGAAAATTATCTTAGAAAGAAATTAAGAAAGGAAGAATTTGGCTTTTATATTTTCCTGCATATTTATTGTTTTGCAGAGTTCATCTCTTTCTGCTCAGTTTTGCCTAAGCTAGACTTAGTGTCTCCCTTGTCTGGATTTTCATAGTACATATATCATATATAACCTTACAATTAGTAGTTCCACATATATCTCAAATTTTCTCTGCCAGTTTTAGGTTTTTCTCTGTCAAGGATCCCCGGGTATACATTTTAAGCTAACATTATGCCTAGCACAGCGGTTTATACAAAGTGGGCAACTGTATTTTTTAAGTATGTAAGAAATTTTGTTCTTGTATTTTAGTATTTGTGTAATCTCACAGGATTAAGTTGTATTGTAACAGTTCACCATTAGATGTCCCTTTCTAATGTGTTATAATATAACAATATAACATGTTAGAAATATAATATTACCAGTGAATTCCTTATTTTAAGACTTACCAGATTCTGAGAGCTGGTGTTCCTATGTAGGTGCACTTAAACTGAGGAGTTTCTGTACATTTAAAAGGGATTACTCTCCAAAACAGAAGTGCTCATAAATTGTAATTTTTATTATATTTCAGTTATATGTCTAAGTTTATACAGAGTCAACTGATTTTCCTGAAGTTCACTGTAGAACTTGAATACCGGCATTGTTTTTGAATTATTCTCTCTGTGGGAGCATAGTTTGGAACTCTTAGAAGTAGTGGTGTGAAGACGTAGGATATTCAGGAATAGCTTAAAACATGTTGGAAATGTTTTCTGAAAGTGATATAATTCTGAAAAACATCTTATTCTAGGAGCCTGACGGACTCAGAATCACTAGACGTGAGTTTTCTCGAGATAAACTTTGATAGCAACTGCTGATTTGTTTGGGTTTGCCAGACAAAGAGAAGGAGCGGAATAGGCTGTGAAGAAATGGAGAGGTGGAGAACATGAATCTGATGGCTTTCCTGGCCAATCTTAGCACAGCCCAGTGCTTCCCTCCTCATTCTTTTCTCCTAAAAGACAGGAAAGAGCAGATCAAGGAGATTTTAGCAGTTTTGGAAGATTTAATGTTCACTGTTTGTTTAGGTGCCTACATTTTAAACTTAGCATTGTAACCTATATAATTTAGAAAGATGCTTCCATGGTTCCCAAGTGCTGGAACTCTTAATGAAAGACAGAGTTCATGGTGAAGGTTGATATTCCTGCAGACAAGTCCATGCAGGGTTAAGAAAGAGAGATCTCTTCTGTCATACCACCGCTCAAGAGACATTCAGGGTATAACTGCCAGTTTCTCCCCAGTCTTGCCAGGAGACAGCTGGAAAATATATGGAGGAGTGGTGACTGTTTCCTTCAGTTCACCCAGAAAACTAAAATAGCAATGTTGTTTTCTAATAATGTAACAAATACCCCCAAACTGATACCTAACCCAATAATGTGATTATTCTTAGTAATTTGTAACTCTTTAGTATATCATTCCCTAGTCTTTCACATCTCACCCCAGAAGTAACTTTCTTATATTCTGTTCATGGTTTTATTTTTTTAAAAGGAGAATGTTGTTTTCATTTCTTTTTTCTTTTTTTTTTTTGAGTTGGAGTCTCACTCTGTCACCCAGACTGGAGTGCAGTGGCTGCTCCCGGCCACCGCAGGCTCGACCTGCTGGGCTCCGGTGATCCTTCCGCCTCAGCCTTCCAAGTAGCTGGAACTACAGGCACGCGCTACCACACCCGGCTATTTTTTTTTTTTTTTTTTTTTTTATTGTAGAGATGAGGTCTCATCAAGTTGCCCAGGCAGGTCTCGAACCCACGGGCTCAGGCAATCCACTCACCTCGGCCTCCCAAAGTGCTGGGATTACAGGCTAAGCCACCGAGCCCGGCCTGTTTTCATTTCTTAATCTGTGTCAAAATCATGGCTATAATAAAACAAAATACCAAATAATTAGAGCATTTAAATTCCATTTTGTGTTGATCAAATTATGTACAATGTAATATCATTAAATGCAATTTTATCTTGTATTTGTGTGCTTCAGAATAAAATTTAAATTATTTTAAGAATGTATTGATATAAGGTAGCCACTTGTTCTCGGGAACACTTTGGTTTTCAGCACGTCACTCTTTATGAAGTAATGAATGATAACTTTTATGAAGTAACTGGTGATATGTATGGTAGGAAATAAGATAGACAGTTGGCAATACTACGTACCTTGTTAGTATGATCAGTAGTTGGGAGGTGCTGATAATGTTACTCGCTTACGTTGATGACAGTTCATTCTGTAATCTGTTTTTCCCCTTATGTTTCTGTGTTTTGCTACAGCTAAAGAAGTAAACAGGTCATGGCACGTTTAACAAAAAGACGACAGGCGGATACAAAAGCTATCCAGCATCTGTGGGCAGCCATTGAAATTATACGGAACCAGAAGCAAATTGCCAACATTGACCGTATCACAAAGTAAGCAATTTAAATTTACCCTGTGAAATTTCATAGACTAGTTTGGAGTGAAAATCTAAAAATATTTTCTCTATTATACTAACCAACATGTATTATAAAGAACGTAAGTCACTTTTACCTTGCAGGAGTATATAGTTAGGAAAACATGCATAGAAAAACAAAAGCAACTTGTGTTCTATGTAATGAATAAATATTAGATAAGTAGAATATCAGTATGTAGAATAGTTTATAGCTATCAAAATTTTTAACTCTTGGAAACTTTAAGTCATTTATTAAAATGATGTTTAACTCATCACTTGCTTTTATATAATGAAGTTCTCTAAGGACAGTCTACTGTTCATTACTAATTTTATTTTAATTTATTTTATTTTTTAGAAAACAGGATTTATTGAGAGAACAGAAAAGCTCCCACAGGGGAGGGGACCCGAAGGGGTTGCGAATTTTTTTTTTTTTTTAAATATGTAGGGTACAATTCAGGGATTACTAATTTTAATAAAGGACAAGCATGGTATGGGTAACAAATAACATCTTATTTGTTCATAGCCCACTGACAGAATTTTTAACAATTTCATTCTATATTTTAGAAATTATATTAAATAAACATTGTTTTAAAAAAGAAAGTCTTTCCCCCCCCTAGTTTCTAATACTATTTATAGAGATCAACAAAGATTCAGGATACAAAATAAAATCACACTACTTTGAATAGTCTACTTATATGTTGTATACTAAGAATAAGGCAGTTTTCAAATAGGAACTTGGTTTTGTTTTATGTTTCTCTGAGTATTTTTAAACAAATAAAGCTAAATTTATCTTTTTTCAGTGTTTGGAAGGTTTTTTTTTTTTGTATATTTAGGTATAAAAATTTTAAATACTTGTCTCTCCCTACATTATTTAGATGCTATGTGTAAAAATGAAAAACAAGTAATTTACAAAATCTCACTTAAATATTTTTTTGGCTTTTACTAATAAGTAAGAGAAAAAAATTGAGTTCCATGTATTTTTGTCCTTTCCCTGTATTCTGGTGAAGAAGATTATAAAGGCCACTTACGAGGAAGGCACAGGAGAACAGAGAAGAGGTGAGGCTATATGAAGGGGTGAGGCTACATACAACTCTATACTTGCCCTTGGGATATTTTAAAGCTGACAGCATACAACTCCTAGCTCCCATAGGTTAATAGAAGAAAAAAATAGGTAACACCATGTGAAAAATAAGAATAAATAGTACATTATTTTAGTTATTATTTTTTAAGCCATGGTAACTAAATGCAAATTACAAAGAGGTGATATTTATATAAAAGTATCTTAAGTAAATCTCAAGGAGTGAAAAAGCATTTTGTGTTTACTTATGGTTGAGATTTTTTAAAAATCATAGTTTATGTTATCAGAATTGGTTACAGAAGAATGTTGAAATAAAATACTTTTCTTTGGATTCCATTTTTATAATTAAAATAATTTAAGCCTGACTCAACTATTTCAGATTTTCAAATGATTCCTTTTTCTCTTCTGTGGCATCTTTCTCTAGAAGCTTTAGGGACATTCTCCAAGAAGAATCTTCCAATGTGAATGTTGCTATTAGGTTGTGACCACCTGCTGATGTGAGCGTAAGAGAATTGACTCCCACAGTATTGGGTACAGATCACTGTTGGATTATTATAACACCTGTGTGTGTACGCATGAGTACACATGTTAAACTGGAGTAAAAGATACAGAGATTATTAACAAGATTGCATACATCTTCTCATTTTGCATTATGGGTTGTGGATAAGCATTCTCTTTTCTCCTTTCTTCATCAGTGTAGACTTAAGTGGTGCCAAGGCTTATTTTTCTTGATATCTTGATAGTTCCTAAATTAAATATGAATGTCTTTACCTTACCAAATAGTTTTGTTTTTATTAGTCTCATCCAAAGATGTAAAGAGACAGAGAGAGAGAGACAGACAATTGGAGGTAAAGTGTTTAGGAGTGGGTCCCAGTGCTGCTGCTTCTGCCTCATCTCATTTGAGAGGTATGCCATATTTCTTTTAATAACAGCGGCTCACTTCAGAGCATCCTATACTTCTTTTATAACATTGATCACATTTGCAATTACCTCCCTGTTAGACATTTAGCTCTAAGAAAGTACTGTCCGGACAATTGCTAAACCCTATGCCTTTGCTTCTTGGTTAATGTTAATTCCCTTTCTCATTAGACTTGCCTAAGGTAAGTTAGGAAGTAGCATTGGTCTCTGACAGTAAGTCAGATCTTTTGCTCTGGGCCTAGTGTACCGATTCTGCACTCTCGATAGGCAAATTTTTTTCAGGCCTTAGATTCATTTCAAAACAAGTGACCCTGCTCAGCCAAGTCTGAACATAGAGGTCTCTCTCATACTCTGCAAATATCTTAAGCTACTGAAAGCTACAGTAGAGGTACTGTCAGTAATGCATATGCAGTCATTGAGTTTCATTTTTTACTTTGGTGAGTGATGGTATTTGAAAAAATGAAAGCTACACGGTGTTAGTCATACACTAAAAGTTTGGGCTGTGGGGTAACTGGCTCTTAGCCCAGTGCATCCACAACATTCAAGTTTACTTCTGTAGAATGGGTTAGCTTTTCCTGCTTTTGTTCTTTTAGAGCAGTAAATGAACAGATTTCTCTTATTTTTCATTGTTGTCTTCCTTTGGAATTTGTTGATTGAAGAAACCAGGTCATTTGTTGTGATTACCCATAGTCTGGCTTTTGCTTATTATATCCCTGTGGTCTTGTTTAGCCTGTTGCTCAGTTCTCTCTCTGTGTATCATGGACATATATAGTTACATTTTGAGACTTGGGCATGGGGCAAGATTGCTTCATAGGTAGTTCTGTGTTCTACTGTCAAGAGGCACAGAATATCGATTGTTTTGTGATGTACATAGCCATTGATGCTAAATCTAATAATTCATTAAGGATTGCAAAAGGACAATAACCTAATTTATCTTTTCTTTTTTAACTGGAATACTTCTAGAAGGACATAGCTTCCTATTTATCTGCTATCTGTTTGCCCTCTGGTACAGTTCATTTGGGAAAAGTAGAAAAATTCTTTCTCTTTATGTGTTTGCCAGTTTTTTAAAAGAGCATCCTCTAATGGTAACCAGTTAGTTTTATCGTTTCAGTGTCATTTGGAATTCACACATTTAAATACATGATATATTTAAGTCCATTTTTGACGTTGACCTTATTGTACTCAAATATTCAAATATGTCTGTCTTTGGCCATTGGGAGCCTCTGCATGCTGGCTCCTGGAGTTCTTTCCCACTTCCTCAGACTCCTCCTATACATTTCAGGACGTTTCAGACTCCTCCTATACCATTGATTTCTCCCAGGAGCTCTGGTTTCTTTTAGTTTAAATTGTATTGCAAGAGTACTTTCTGGCCACTCAGTGTTGCTACTGGGTTGGTCTCTCTTTCTAGGCCTTTGAGTGTACAGAATTAGAAAGTAAACATACTTTTAAAAGATAAAAACAGCACGTAAATTCATACTGATATTTTCCTTTGATCTTTATGACTACTGGGTTTTATTTGACTCTAGTTCTGTCTAAAAATCTTTATCTTTTTCCCCGCCTGGTGGGAGTCATATTTGTTGAGGACATTATGAATGATAAAATTTTAGAATACCATGTAACTTGTCCGTTATTTTATGTAACATTGTATATACAGCTATCTGAGAATAAGAAACTTTTACTTAAAATCACATATATGTAGTTATGATCGTGTATTATATATGCACACACCGTTGTTTAGTTTTTATTATTTTGGACCTCCCTTAGTACATTGGATCTTCTTTTCCCATATTCTGTATTTGTGATTTTCTATTGAATTCTTATCATCTTTTTTCAATTTTGATTTTTAGTATTTTCCTTCGCAACTTTTGTTTAACTGACATTATCTGCTGTATGTTCACTATTGTATACCTTCTAGTTTAGACTTCTTCTGAAGTGATTTTTTCCATCTGCTTCAAATGTACAACTCATGTCTGAGTTTCCTTCTGCTTTATAGCTTTCATATTATCAATATATCATCTTCTCATGTCTTTTCTCCTGTCTTGAAGCATTAGGTTTTAGTTTCCTTCTGTTTTGTAGGCATCTCTCCCTGGTGTGCTTCTGTTGTAAGGATGTCATTCTGCCCTTCTGCCACAAGTAGAATGTTGGCCATTCTGATATGCCATCATTTTTTCTGAACTTGCATTTGGGAGGGGAGGTTCTGAGTATTCTTTCTAGATTTATGACTGCAAAGTTCCTCCTTATACTGTTTTTTTGAAGTGCTAAGAATGTAGTCATATTTCCTCAGATTGATTGGGTTGTTCTCTGTCTTTTCCCCCTGTTTTTTTCTGGAACTACCCTTGTACTGAGAGTCTTTTTAATGGACTCCAGTAGTATTTAGTACTTTTATTCCTAACATTTCCCAATAATATGGGGCTTTGTCCTGGAAGGGAATTTCGACTGCTTAATTTTGAGAATTCTTGGGGCTCGGTATGCTCCCGTACCCTAAGACTTTACCATGAATTCATGTGTTATTATGAATCTTCTGCAAATGGGAAGGTGTAAAAACCCTATCTAGCTTCAACTGCTATTCTCAAATGGGCGCACTTGCTTTCCAGTGAGTCTGTTGGTTACTTTATCTTCCTGTACTCAGTTGCATTCGATTCTTTGTTGTATCCCTTTTTCTCCTACATGGGTGGCCTTGCCAATTGGGATAAGATTTGACCTCACCTGCTCAAATTTTGGGATTCACAGGACTTCTTATCACTAAATTTTGTTGTCCTGTAAATGTTATTCAAGAGCATTTTATTTTGTTATGTTTGCTATTCTTCCAGTAACTCTGTCTAAGAGGTTTGGGAGAGATTTAAAAACTGTGTGGCCTCCACCATCTTCCCAGGCCACAACAACTTTATGATTTTTCTTAAAAACAAACAAAACAACTCATAAAGCCAAAACCAGTTGCTAAGGTACCAAATAATTCTCTGAAGTTCAAAAGCAGTGCTAAAAGCAATACAAAAAAAAAAAAAAATCCCTCCTAGCAAAAACCCATCCAGGGAACTTTCTTCATGTTAGTGTGCAGTACTGACCGCATCAGAATCAACAGCGATATCATCTTCAAACACAGGATCCTTAACATAGTACAACTTGCATTGCAACTTTAAAAATAAATTTCGTGAGTAGAATTTGTGACCTTTAAGCCTCAGATCCTCATACGTAATTGAACTCTTAGTCACCACTAATAATTTTCTTATCTCTGTAAAAAAATGGGAGAATTTATCTGCCTTCATGTTTGTTCTACCTAATTGTGATCGTATCTCACTTTCAGCCTTCATGGCGGTAGTTGCACATTAGTTATAATACCGCTCCAGGAAGGAGCATCCTGAGTCTTTCTTATGACTTTCTTTTAATTTTCCTTTCTGAAACCACTAGGGTTATATCCAAGAAGATAGTAGGAAAGGTACTACAAGTTAGATAATCATGGCTGAAGTTTATCGAATATTCACAAATGTTTCAGAAATATAACTAAGAGAAACTTCTTTAACAAGTGCTAACATTTTAGTACAGGAAGTATTTTTACTAAAAGCATCAATCTGAAACGAAAATACATATATGAGATTAAGTCTGTTTTTTTAATTAACGGTGAAGCCATCCCTCTGACTTAAAGCGCATGTTTACAGGTTTGATTTAATGATACTATAACGTCCTATAGGTGACCTCATTTGGGAACTAAATAAGCACAAATACTGTTTTCTTTTTTTTTTTGAGTTGGAGTCTCACTCTGTCGCCCAGACTGGAGTGCAGTGACACACTTCCGGCCACCGCAGCCTCGACCTGCTGGGCTCGGGCAATCCTTCCACCTCAGCCTTCCAAGTAGCTGGAACTACAGGCACGTGCTACCACACCCGGCTAATTTTTTATTTATTGTAGAGATGAGATCTCGCTAAGCTCCTCGGGCTGGCCTTGAACCCGCGGGCTCAGGCATTCCACTCATCTCGGTTTCCCAAAGTGCTGGGATTATAGGCTGAGCCACCAAGCCTGGCAGCACAAATACATTTTGACCTGTCAGTGGAAACATTTGGAGTCCTTCAAAATTGAAGAATGTTTTGTGACGTGTAATTATCATAAAATAGAAACAAATGAGTCATTTTATCATAAAGAAGAAAATACAGAAGTCAATTGAGGATTATGTATGAAGATAAGCATAGGCAATAGTATGTCTTCTCAGTTTAAGTGTCTGTAAACGCTAAATTATAGTTGGCACAAATAAATTGATCAGTTTTGTATAATTTGGATAGTTACCATTCTACATTTTTAAGATGTTTGGTCACTTAACATTTGTATTAAATATGTATGAAATAGTTTTATGCTTAGGATGATGTTAGCCCTCATTTTGCAGATTTTAAATCAAGACATAAAGAATGTAGAATCTTAACAACAAAATCTGTAATAGAAGAGAAATTTAAACTTTCAATCACTAAGATTCCCAATATTCATAACTCATCATGTTATTTCTCTAAATGCTATGTGCATTTTAATATCCAGTAAAATAAGTTATGTGTATAACTTCCTTTTCTTCTTTAATTCAAAAGAATTACTCACATCTAATTGGATAATTAAAGCATGGCATTAGAGGTTTATAATTATTTTAAGTAATAGTTACAGTTTAAGATGTGCTTTTGAATTAAGTATAGATTTTATACTGGTTTCTACTGGCATTGTTGGCTGTATAGTGTGATTGGGGGAAGTTTGTTTATTTTTTATTGACTACTGGAATAAACAGTCAAAGTAGTTGACTTATATGTTTTCCTCCCATCTTTGGTAACTTTGATTTTGTGTTTCTAGAGGTGATCACATTATGACTAGCATGATTAGACTAATATTGGATTGGTAGACTAGTCCCATTCAAGTTAATGTTCAGATTAGGGCATCAATTAATTACATGTATTGCTTGCTTTAGGGTCAAACCCCAGTTAGAAAATGTGACCTCTGACCTCTTGTGACATGTTTGGCATTGAAATTTCTGAGTTCTCCTGGAGTTCTTCCTGTCGCTACAGATATACATAAACCCAAACTGTAAGTCTTTTTGTGTGTAGGTTACCTTTGAAGTTGCAACTAGGTACACATTATTTTCTTTATTTACTTATTATTATTTAACTTTTTGAAACCAAATTTCCAGGAACTGTTTATTTAAGTTAAATTTTGCTATATCTCAATTTCTGTTCCCTCATTAGAATTATTGGAGAGGAAGAATGGCTAAGTTACTTCTTTGGAAGTAAGTTAGTTTTAAAAACTACCAGTGAATATTATACTGTTTATGTAATCTCAAGAATTCTTCACAGATTGTTCAGTATTCTCAATTCAATCTATATTAATTTATTCTGTCTCATATATGTCTTATTATGAAAGCTGATTGGCAGATATACTTTATCACTATTTTCATTATTATTTTATTTTATATTATAATGGCCTTACAGAAAAACTGACTCTGAATAGCCATAGTGCACAATAAATTTCTTCTGGTATGCCAGATTCTTATGACGCTTATCTTGCCTTTGATTGTTATCTAGCTGATTTCATGTGTTTGACATTTCTTTGCAGTTTTGTGATGGAAACATACAAACAAGCCACATAAAGGTGTAAATAACCATTAAAGAATAAACCAGTAGTAACGAATTACAGGAGAGGGTCAGTGCCACATTATGAGAGTCTATTAATTTGTGACACTGTAGGCCTTATTCAAGGGAGAAGTTAATGTGAGAAAGTTCGGAAAGCCTTGTGGAGGGTATGGAATGAGTTGGGTCAGTAGTGGGGAGGGATTCACCAGGGCAGAGAGGAGAGTCAAAGCACAGAGTAGATCAAGTAGAGGGATTGAGGGTTTAAGGAAAAGTGGATCAAAAGGGGAGGGTCTTTAATGCTAGCATTGGAATTTTTGTTCTGTAGCAAGTAGGGGCTAGAAAACATTTTTTTAGTATAGAAATGGTAAAAGTAAAACATTCATTTTGTTTCCTCCCCAGCTAGATCGAATGGTTCCCTTTAATGTCTCTTGAATCTGTCTGCTCATTCCTATTCTGTTCTGGGTTTTGCCCTTGTAACTTCAGGCCTATTATTCTAGCCCTCAGTTTTGCTAGTCTGCTTCTTCTCATCATTGGTGTCAGAGATGTCTTTCCAAATCTTCATCTTATCAGACTGCTCCACTGTTGCAAACCATTTTCTGCCGTCTGTGGAGTCCACATTCCGGTGCAGAGGTGTTGCTCTTTCTGCCTGCCTCTTTCCATGATCTCCCCCGTTCTCAGTACCTCCCAGAAACACTCTCCGCAGGCCCTCAGACCCGCCTTTCCCACACTCCGCCTGGAATGCCCTTCTCAGACGCCTCGTTCATGTGTCATCTCTTAGAAAGTCTTTCCCAGCACCTTCAAGTCAACCTAATTGTTGGTTATTTTTCTAAATTTTGGGTCTGATTGTGTTCTTAAAATCCTCTTTTGATTTCCTCATTATGCATGAGCAGGGCATTTGTACCAAGCTCTTCAGAATTTCAGGCCAACATTTCTTCTTCTTTTCATATTCAGCCTCTCCTCACTAATGTTCCATCTGATGAGACGAGTCTCAATTGCCTGGGTACTCTGTGGGTTCTTCGTTGGGTACTTTTCCTTCATTAATGGACAAAATCGTACCTATTCTTGTAAGATTCAACTCAAATATCATCTCCTTTGGGATTTTGATACAGTTCTCATTATACTCAATCCCACTTTCCTTTCTCTTTGCTTCCATTATAGTATATATAAAATTCAATTTTGTTAAATTGAATTGCAATCTTTGAAAAATACTTCTTCCGCGCTCGGTGGCTCAGCCCATAATCCCACGCTTTGGGAGGCCGAGGTGAGTGGATTGATTGCCTGAGCCCGCGGGTTCGAGACCTGCCTGGGCAACTTGGCGAGACTTCATCTCTACAATCAATCAAAAAAATTAGCCGGGCGTGGTAGCGCGCACTTGTAGTTCCGGCAACTTGGAAGGCTGAGGCAGCAGGATTGCTGGAGCCCAGCGGGTCGAGGCTGCGATGGCTGGGAGCAGCCACTGCACTCCAGTCTGGGCGACGGGTTGAGACTCCAACTCAAAAAAAAAAAAAATACTTCTTCCTTTGTTGATTGTGAGCACCTTAAGGGTAGGGAATATATCTTTTCTGTCTTTGTATTTTAGTATGAAGCATAGTAACTTCAACATTAATGATAATAATAAATACACAGCTATGTTGACTGCAGAAGTGGTTTCAAGGAGGATTATAATAATTAATAACATTAGATGATCCATTGTTTTGTGACCAGCACTGTGCTTTATGTAATTTACTTATCTCATGGAATTTTACAACAGTTCTGTGAGGTATGTTGTCAGTACCATGTAACCAAGAAGATAATGAAGCTTAGGAAGATGAAGTATATTACTCCAATTCACACAGATTGTTTGTAGCAGAGCTAACATTTGAATATAGGTCTATCTGATGTCAGAGTCCAAGCTCTTAACCATTAAATGTTTCCTTCCAGCGTTTAATGGTTTTGTATTTGTATCCTTGCAAATTTTGAAGTTTTCAAAACATTATCATCTGCGTGGTCTTTACATATTATCTCATTTCATCCTCACAACGGCAATGAGGTTGAAGTTAGCCCCACTTTATAGGTGGAGAATGCGAGACTATGAGAGTAATATTGTCCCAGGTTAAGTGTTAGGATTAGGAAGTACCTAGAGCTGCAGAATGTATTCCAAAATTCTAAAATTATCCCATTGGTGAAAGATCCATAAAGATACTATTTAGGTTTTGAAGTTTATTACTTTTTGTTTCTTTTTTGGTGTGCTATGTATTTTGTTTTTTTAATATTTTTTTATTTTAGAGTGAAGATTTACCACATGTGTAGGTTGCATGCAGTGAAGTTTGGGCTTCTCTCCCCCCTTCATAGTGGACCAGGTACCCAGTGTGTTTGCCATGTGCTCTACTCCCTTCTGCCTCCCTTCCCCCTCAACAGCGTCCAGCATCTGCCAGTCCCGCCCTTTTGCTAGTATGACCAGTGATTAGGGCCCACTTGTGAGTGAAAACATGTGGTATTCAGTTCTTTGTTTCTGTGATAGTTTACTTAGTATGATGGTCTCCAGCTGCATCCAAGTTACTGCGAAGACTATGATTTTGTTCTTCTTTATGGCTGCTGTTCAATACATTTTTGAAATACAATATTTATTTGGCTTGAAATCTTTTGTTTTATTTCTAAAAGTAACACAAACCATACTACAAGATACTTGGAAAATAGAAAACTGAAAAGTAACCACCTATAATTTCTCTTCCCATATTTAAGTCAGGTTCTCATCTTGATTTTCTTCTTTCCAGTCATTTTCCAGGTACACCTATTGTGTCCGCGTTATTCAGCCTCTCTCCATGTTGTTGCATGGCCACCATAAATTATTGTTTGTGATGGCTGTACAACACACAGTGCTCCGTCTGGTGAGATTGCACTGTACTGTACTCTGGGAGGAAGAGAAGCAGGATAAACAAACATTTGTTATAAGGTTTACATTATCCTTCTTACACTCAAAACAACCACATGGGACTGACCTTATTAATTTTACTTTATAAATAACAAATAGAAATGTAGAGAGGGTAAATGACCTGTCATGTATACCTAGTCAGTTGCAGAGCTGAGGTCTGTCTCAGAATCGTTGCAACTTTGGAGGCCATGCTTTTCCACTGTGCTTCCATGGTGCCTCCATACGTCATCTCTTAAATTCCTATAACAATACTGTGTGTCCGTTATATGAATAAATGATGCATTGAAAGCTTAAAGGGGGGCACTGTACTATGTAGTAGGAACTGTTTATTTGGAATGTGTAAGTTCAAAGTCTTGGACTAAGCACTTTACTTCCATTACCTTGTCTAGCTCTTACTGCAGTCCCATAGGTGAGTATCAGCTGCCTTTTTATCATCCTGCTGCCAGTGTTATAGTCTAGGATAACTTGGATGTTTTTAGTTTTTTCACTGTGCTCCATATCGCCTTGGATTATAAACTTCTCCCATGCTTTGAATTACTTTCTTGCCGTGGACACACAGCTTGTCTCCAGTTTCCCTACACCATAAATGACTGTGGATCGCCCAGCTCTTCACTTCCACAAGTGACAGTGTTTCCCTTTTGACCTGTACGAGGAATTCATTGGTATGTATATCCAGAAACAGAATTCTTCCTTGGCTATAGGATATACGTACTTAATTTGACTAAGCTGTCAAGCAAGTCTCCCTCAGTTTACATATTCATTAGTGCTGTGCATAAGGGCTTTGTTTTCTGGTTGTCTGCATATACTTAATGTTCTGTTACCCACGCTTTGTTACTTAGATGAATGATTTAACTTGTATGTCTGTGTTTGTTAATTAGTTTAGCCAGCCCTTGGTGTTCTTATATGGTTTTGGACTTGCTTTTCTTTGGATGCCTGTTATTGTCTTCTGCCTATTCTTCCATTGGTGTTTCTGTTGGTATTGTTCCTTCTTAAAAATTAACTTTATAGTTCTGCCATTCACAGGTAGATTTTTAATCCATCTGTAGTTCTGTTTCCACATAGTAGGTAAGGATCTGTCTTACCTTAATATTTTACATTTCTTTCATGAGCCTACCTTCTTTGGAGTTTAAGCTTGAGAGTAAAGAACTCTTGTAGGAGATATTTTAGGGGTCCTTATAGCATACTTTATAGTTTAATGATTTGTTTGCAGTACCATGATTTGTCTGTTGTCTGTTCTGTAATCTCTTTATGAAGTAAGGATTTCTTTTGTGTGTCCCAAGCACTTAGAGCTAGTAACTGACACGGGATGTTTACTTCACAGTCGTCACAATATTTATTGAGTGCTCTTTTCTTGCGGCCAGTTTGTCCTTCTCACAGAAAGCTTGAAATCTTTACTAGAACTAGACTAATTCTGTTTTTTGTTTTATTTTGTTTTGTTTTGTTTGAGTTGGAGTCTCACTCTGTCGCCCAGACTGGAGTGCAGTGGCCGTTCCCGGCCACTGCAGCCTCGACCTGCTGGGCTCCGACGATCCTTCCCTCTCAGCCTT